ATCTCTCGAGGCATGACTGTCGTGGTGGTTGTGGCTGAACCGCGACCGGTACACTCGTGTAAGGATTCCCCAAGGAGGTCGTGATAGTCGAGGAAGAGGCCGCCCCCGACTCGTTGGTAGGTGGCCGTAAGACTTGCCTCGGGTCGTTTCGTGTCAAGTCCACAGCAGGGTGGACGGAGAATCTCGGCGGCACGACCTTTCCAAACCCCGCGGAGCTGTCGGCGTCGGGGTGTGGTCGTTTGGGCATGGCCTTGGTCTGAGTACTCACGAGAGTCGTAGTAGCGGCAGCCCCAAAAGATGGGTTGATCCACTCGGATTCACTCGCGGAATTGGCCACCGACCCAGCGCTCCTTGGGTTCATCGATGTCGCAGGGGTAGCTGTAGTAACCACGGTCGGAGGTGTCGGTGGTTGTGTCGCGGAATCATCGTCATCATGCCAAGGATCTGGCGACCTCAGCCTCGTCTGCGGTGTCGTGGTAGTCGGTGGGGCCGCCGGAGTCGGGGCTGGTGTCGAAGCGGCGATCTCATCCGGGATTTCGACGATCACCGGGGTCTTAGAGTCAAGCCATCTCTTCGCCGGTGACTGGGATCTCTTCGGGAATCTCGCCGGAGAAAGCGGTCGTTGTGATCCCCTGGCTGCTCCATCGCCGTGGCGGAAAGCAGTTCGGGGTTCACGGCCGAAGCTGGGTGCATCGGAGTCCGTATCCGTGCTGACCTGGAAGAAAGGTCTCCTTGGTGTCGGCGGCGTCGGAGTAGTCGAAGGTGCCGTCGATGGGACCGCTGCCGGAGGTGCTGTCGATGGGGCTGCTGTAGAAGGGGCCGACGAGGGAGCCGCTGAAGGGGGCCATCGGGGTCTCGAAGTAGGGAAAATCGCTCCCCGTGTCGGAGTTGAGTGTTGTCCCCAGGTCGCCGGAGGTCTAGATTCCTCGCGAACTCTGCGAGGAGAGCGTCCGCGACGATGCAGGCCATCCGCGATCTCTTGTCGTAGTTGTTGGGCAGCATCAGATCTATCCCACGATTCGTAGTCGTAGTACCTGGAGAAGTTTGTGCCAAAGTTGAACTTGCGCATCTCGGCGGAACGGAACGTGGTCATCGAGTCCATGATCCACTCACGAGCCTGTGCTCGGTTGACCTGCTCGATGATTCCGTTCTTCGACGAGTAATGGTAAGGTGGTTCGCCTCGACGATTCTGTCGTTGTACTACGAAAGCTTGTCGCATAGCTTCATCGAACGTGTGGCCATGTTGATTCCAGCACGTATTGTGGTACTCGCAGCATCCCTGGAACCATTTGTGGCATATGAGGTTGGGCACTACCCACGACTTGTTGAGGAAATCGGGGTGAAGGTATCCACAATTGGCCATGTTACAGTTCTTCTTCTCGAGAAGTCGGGGACAAAGCTGTCGTCGTATCTCAGAGATGGGGACTTGGGCCGTGTCGCTGACTACTTCGGGGTACTCGTTAAGCATCGACTCTGGAACAGGGGCCGTCATCTTCACCAGCGTGCCCTCGCAGAGAAAATCGAACCATGAGTCAGCTCGGGTACGTGCCATGGCTACGAAGTGACTAATCCAAATCGATGGTAATCGAAGTAGTGGGCTTGAGATGCCCTTCGAAGTTCCGCTTTCGAGCTTTAGAGGCAGCGGGTTCAGGATTATGTAATTCCATGCCAAAATCATCACGCAAAAGGTCTGCCAAATGCTGATTATGCAATTCAGTCTCATGTGCAAGAAGGGCTGCGTCGGTGTCTGGAGGAAGAGGTACATGGTCGGAGTCAGGGTGTAGAGAAGCCTCGACGACCTCGAAGGGAATCGTCAACTGCTCCGCGGTGTCGTCGCGATTAGTGATGTGCAGGTAGAGGAAGGCCTCGAGAGTCGGCGGCTTAAGCAAGGTCGCCGCCAGATTGACAATGTCGTCACCAGTTCGGCACTGGGAAATTTGGTCGATGGCCTTGCGAATCTGTCGTGACTGTCGTTTGTTCCAAGCTCCCCAAGTCACATCCTCGGGTTTCTCGATTTGGAAATCTTCGAGAACTTGCTCGCGGCTGAATTCTTCGAGCGATTCCTTCAGACTGTCAACAACCGACAGAGAAGCCGTAGTGCTCGAAGTACTGGCCGCAAGCAGCGGTCGTAGTAGACCTCGAAGTACTGGCCGCCAACAGCGGCGATGGCCGAGGACTGATCCGAGGGGACTGAAACAAAATTTCGCTCAAGCTGTAACAGCTTTCGCCAAAATGGCCACGGAGTATACAATCATTCGACATGAATCGGTGAGTCAATCCCCTGACCGATTCGGTGTTTAAGTGAGATATGAAGTTGTCACTTCGCACAAACAAGTGTGTGCTACACATAATATAATACAATATACTATAATATAACATAATACAATATACTATAATATAAAATATGGTATAATATAATATAATATAATATAATTTAATTTAATTTAATTTAATATAATATAATACAATATACTATAATATAATATAAGATACTATAATATAATACAATATACTATAATATAATATAATAGAAAATAATATAATATAATACAATATACGACCATATATCATACTATAAAGCAATATGTTACAATGTAATATAATATGATATAGCAATATATAAAGTCATATAATAAAATATAACGAAAAAATGCAGTATAATATAGTATAACATAGAAATATATAACGTAACATATTGCAACACATTGAAATATAATCTGATATAGTAACATGTAACATAATACATATAACGCGAAAAAAAATATAACATAGCATAATATAGTATATACAATTGAAATATAATAAAAAACGAATATATTTACAACAATATGCTTAAATCGAATATGATCTGATATAATAAAAACAATAAATGTTAAAATATTACAAAATATCTAATATATATCGCAAAAACACTATATATAGTATAAATGTACAACATCAGGCATACAACATACAACGAATAGATTATAAATAGTATTCTAGAATATATATACTGAAACAGAACATAACATCACATAACACAATATAATATAACGATAATATAGTATAATAACAAGATATGTATAATAATATAAAAGAAATGAAATAATAATCAAATAACTATATAAGACAAATATAAAGAATAATAATTTATAAATAATAAAATACAATATAATACAAAATAATACAATATAATATAATACAATATAATATAATATAATATAAATAATATAATATAACATAATACAATACAATATAATATAATATGATATAATATAATATAATATCAGATACTATAATATAATACAATATACTATAATATAATATAATATGATATGATATAATATGATAAAATACAATATAAAAAATATAATATAATACAAAATAATATAATATAATATAGTATAATATAATTCAATATGATATAATATAATATAATATAACATAATACAATATAATATAATAAAATATAATATAATATGATATAATAAAATATAATATAATACAATATAGTATAATATAATATAATATAATATAATATATAGACATATATTTGTATTTATTTGTCTATTTACATGTCTGTGGCACATCTCCACACCCTCCTCCTGCCTGTCGCCCTGCAATCCGTCACCTGCTGTGTCAGGCTCCAAGCAGACCACCACCAAAAAAAAAGACAAAACAAAAGTCAAAAATCAAAACCAGCCCCCTTAAAAGCCCCCAACACTCCTCACCTCCTCCTCACCTCCTCCTCCTCCGCCTTCCCCCAGGTGCCTTTCGTGCGCATCAGCGCTTGAGCCGCGGCCTCTTGGCATCCCAGCCCTGCAGCCACCATCGGCCCGCCGGTGCCTCTGGCGGTGTCGGCTTTTTGCGGGCTTCATGTGTTGGCTATGCATCTCTCGCTCGCTCTCGCTCTCGCTCTCGCTCTCGCTCTCTGTCTCTCTCCCTCTCTTTCGTTGTGTTCTCTCTTTTTCTTTGTCTATCGTTGTCTCTCTCTCTCTCTCTCTATCTATCTCTCTCTCGCCCTCTCTGCCTGCCTGCCTGCCTACCTACCTCCCTACCTCTACCTCTACCTCGACCTCTACCTCGACCTCGACCTCTACCTACTACCTATCTGCCTGCCTACACATAAGTATGTGTAGCTTTTCTCTGTCTCTTTGTTGACGTTCTTCTTCAGAACGGCCTCTCTCCATCTAGTACAACTAAAATCACGATTTGTAGGGGATGCTATTGCCAACTCTTCAAACTCCCATAGTACCCCCATACCTGGGGGATCACGGGACTTTGAATGGGTTGTAAGTATCTTAATTAGGGTTGTAAGTAGATATAACTATAGTTATCTTACTCTACTGCTGGCTAAGTCCCCTCATCCTCCAAGTACCGATCGGGACGCCCCAGCCACGAGGATTTGCGGGGTTCAAGTTCTGGGATCTTGGAGAGAGTTGCGGCAAGGCTTAAAGTCTTAGCCGAGGGCTAGGGTTTTACGGTGTCGGTGTCCAGGTCTCTGGCGTTTGAGGGGTACACGGGTTCAGAAAACGGGATATAGGGCCCCTATGAGAGCTCTTGTTCCTCTTGTTTCAGGCACCTCGGTCCTTCTCAATACCTCAGCCTTGTTTCTTGACATGGAAAACAGTCTATGTGACGCCCATCCTTGCACTTTCTGCGCAACCGCGGGCATCGCGCTAAATCCTGCCCCCGAGCTTCAAAGCTAACACCACCAGACTTGCGACGTATGCGTGAAAACAGCACGACACTGTTTGAGTTCCAGTTTACCTGCGCTGTTTGCCAAGCTAAATACTACCTCAATCCGTTCAAGGTATACATACGAGCTCTATGGGGAGCTGTCAAAATTAGGGTCCCTTGTAACATGTTTTGGACCCTAGAAGGGAACTCACTTTTCACGACCACGCATATACCTTAGCGGCCACTCGAAACCCGATGCCTCTACTGTAATACCTGAACCCTAAGACCGGTTTAGGGTTTAGGGCCACCCCGCAACAGCCCGAAATGTGAAACTGCGAGGCCTTGTCTGCCCATCAAGCTGCCGGCACTTGGGACATACCTGGGTAGTATAACCTTTCTTGATCTGAATAGGGTTGTGGGGTAGATTATACCATGATTGTAACAAGGGTTCCAGGGAATAGCAGCACTGCTTGTTCAGGCTTCTACATATGGTCAGGTTGAGCCCCAAAGCGCGAACTCTTTGTACGGATTTGGGGTAAGGGCTCTGGGGGTACTGTTTCAAGGCTAGCTCTCTGCGTTCGGGATCCTTGATTCGGATCACCTCGCTTGCGGCTCGAAGATCTTCGAAGTTCAGGATCAGGCGTGGTCAGTCGGCATCTTTTCGCAGGAGAAATCTTTTCACCCTTCCTCCCAATACCGAAACCCTACATCCATGAACCCTGAACGGTCCCCGTAGTCTTGAACCCTGCGCCCAGAAGGCCTGGGCTTCTACCACATTTTCCCGGCGAGGGTTGGGCTAAGGGCAGCATGAGCATGGCTTTTTCGGGTTCAGGGTTTCGGGTTGCTAGCTTTTTCATTTCGAGGTGGAGGGCTCCGGAATTCTAGTATTTCGAGTCATCGGCTGAAAAGGAAGATGCGAGGGATTCTGCTGTCCCACCTTACAACAATGTAGATAGGGGTCGGAACAACTCTACCTGTAACATTTGTCTCCTTATGGTTTATGTCCAAGCCCTATCTCAGGCCCCTGTCTTGGGGTTTGCAAGTTGCACAGATGCTCACCGACCTCCCTATCTAGTGCTTACATTTGTGACGTCCAGAGTGGCAAACGGCGGATTCCCGGAACGATCGTTTTTGGGGATGTTGATGCGATATTGATATGGTTTCATGAATCATCGAGGCTACGATAGCCGTTCGGTTTTGCGAGGCTTTATGAGTAGTTATGGTTGTGCTATGCCTTTTTGTATTTGGATAATGTCTGTCTCGTTTATGGAGTTGTTGGGAATGCCTGATTTGGAAACGTTTTGGAGCCGATGTTGATACCGTGTTGGTGTCACTGGTGTCGATATGTTTTTGCTTTCGGACTTGCGGCCAAGCTGCTTTCCGAGCCGTGTTTCCCCGTGTAGAGAAACACCACAACCATAGCCAAAACCATGCTCGAAACAATAGCAAAACCAGAAGCGGGAAACAATAAATCGGAATCACAAACAACCGTGCAAGAATCACAGCTAAACCCTCAACACGAATACCCCTTAGTCAGGGCTGCCCTTCACAAGACATAGCTCCATCCTACGCAGCCCGATAGAAGCCCGTCCCTCTGAAACCAAGCCGAGGGCCCCGGGGAAGCAGCCGAAACCCGAAACCCCTACTTGGAGGCTCATGCGCAGGGTTGAGGGGGTAGGGTAGTTATGAGCGGGGGGGGGTATAAGTAGGGTAACTATGGTTGATGCCGTTGGGGGACTTGGACTTATAGCCACACTTATAACTACCCAGGAACCTCCAAGTAGACCCTAAAAGCCTTGCACCCCAAACATCCTAAACCCCCAAATTCAAACGGCAAAACAACCCAAAAAACCCTCAGTCCTAAACGAAGCCCAACCCTAAAACAACATCTTGCAAGCCGGTGGCCCACGCTCCACCGTCGCGCAGATGTAGTTCGTGGGATCCTGAAGTTTAGGGTCCATTATGTATGAGGGCTTAGGGTTTAGGGTTTAGGGTTTATGTATATTATGTCTAGGTTCCTGAGTGGACCCATTATAATAAGGGTACCCTTTTTGATACTATTTGGTTCTTATTAAGGGACCCCAAAAATTAAAAGGGCAAAAGGGTACTACTCAGGAACCTAGATGTATTAGGGTTTAGGGAGTGATCTTGTTTGAGGCTGGAGAGAACCTCACAGAGCCGGGGGTTCGGCTCGGGCTTCCTGGTTTTGTGTTCTCTCGTGGCGTTTGACCAAGGGGAGGTTCTTCGAGCTCAAGGACTTCGTGTCCGCAGCCCCAGGTTCTAAGGCTTTATGGCTCTTTTTCCCTCCTTGGGTCTAGGGTTTAAGGTTTAGAGCTTCATGAGTTTGGGGTTGGGCTTTAAACTTGACGTTCAGGTCCGGGCGTGTGCGTAGGGCTGAGGATTGCGGAATGAAGGTTTCCAGGCCCATCACTTCGGTCCTGACTGCTTAGGCGCAGATGGATGATGCAAACTCCAGCAGGTTAGAGACTACCTACCCTACCCATGCCCCAGAGGCCTTAGATCGTGGCTCTTGAGGCGCAGAGCTTTACCAGGTGAAAAATCTCGTGGCTTTTAGGGTTTCGGGTTCAATCTTTTTGGTTCGGCCTTGTTTCAAAACTTACTTCCCAGGGCATGTCGGTCCGTGTGTCCGTGGGCGGGGAACCGACGGGTCGAGTCGCAGCTAGCGAAACCATACAGCTAGACCCTTAAATGTAGTACCTGATTTTGGTTGCCTTAGTTGGTTATAAAGTCGGTTGGCTTAGTTTGTTTTTATGGGAACCTAACCATAAAGTAGGTCATCCAAAAAGAAGTACTACATTTTCGGGTCTAGGTAGACCCCTTCATTCTGGCCGCTCTTGCATGGATCCGGGCTGTGGTTCAGGGCCTAGGTTCTCTTCTTCAGAAACAACGGCAAGAGCCCACGAGAGGCCCTGCACCGAGCACTTCTTTTTTAAATCGAACCTTGGGATCTGGAGTTGCGCAAGTCGTGGACTTCGGGAATTCACGTAGCTGTTTAGGGTTTAGGGCCTTTCAATAGAAGGGCAAGAACACGTAGAGTAGGGCTTTTGCATATATAGCACGAGAAAAGCTACTTATGATAAGGAGCCCTATGGAATTGCAAGCTCCAGAGAATCTTATTAGCTCTCCGGGCTTCCATATTCGGGCAGTTCTCCAAACTAAGAACCCGTTTTAAGTTCCCAAAATAGTACAGCACCCTGATAACGAGCACCCTAGTCTAGAACTAGTCACTACCATTCAGGGAGTCATAGTTTCGATGATCCAGATCCGCTGCAAGGGCCTCTAGGGTTTGCGGTATAGAGTGGGTAATGTGCAGAGGAACCATCTTCGGGCCGCTGAAGAATCAAGCGAACCATGCATCTACCTGTTAAATGCCTGGCTGGCCTGCATGCCTTCTTTTATCTATAGCATCCGAAACACATGACTAGCGACTAGTGTTACTACCCGCCTGCTTTATGTCCGTTTCTCTTCTTTCTGCCCACCGGCCCCTATCTACCCACCGCTCTACCCAAAACATCCACGGTTTAGGAATCTTCAGGCCCTGTTAAGGTCTAAGCCCTCATCTTGGCCTCGTGAGGCCTTAGACGAATGCAGGGGCTTTTGGGGTTCCTTGTACTATAGCAAAAGAACCCCAAAATAGTATTGGAAATTGTTTGGGCGCCGATATTACCTACCTTCCTAGACCCCCATACCTACTCGAGCGTATACCCCAAATACCGACTATTCTGGACCATCACTGCCCTTTTCGAAGGTCTGAGCCTTTTTCCCGGCTTTTTGAGCCTCCAACTCAGCCCCCACCCCCAAACCTTCACCTTGAACTCAAAACCCTAAACTTGAACCCCAAACCAAACCCTAGACCCCCAGCCCCTAAGCCCCCGCTTCCCGGCCTTCAAAGAGCCGCCCTGCAACTTCTGCTGCGTGTCCTGCAACAGCTCCTTAGTGGCCAGACTCCGGGTTCAGAGCCTAGCGGCTTTTTTTTTAACCGGCTACACCCCCTCTTACCTCGAGCCTAGCGGGTTTAGGGTTTAGGGTTCGGGGTTTTGGGGGTTTTGGGGGTTTTGGGGTTTCTGGCTTAGATGTTTAGGGTTTAAGGGTTCAGGTGGCAACCATTACGTGTAGACATAGTCTCCAGTTGTAGTTACCCCATAGGAGCCTGACGATAAAATCTGTTATACCGAAAAAGGAACTTCAGTCTCTAGAATCTCTCGAAAAGGTACTGCCCTGCTCTAACTCTACTTAAGCTCTTTCGTGCGGACTGAGGCGGCGTTCGGTCCTGGGGTTTCAGGGGATAGTACATGTAGGATCACTGCCAGGACGACCTGGCAAAATGTGCACACAGCGCAACATCTACCTTGGCGGTGCCAGTTCCGAAATCCAGACATTCTGATGTCTTCCCGTCTTCCAACAACTGCGGGACATCATGTCGAACTGTGCCGCGGGCGGCCATCTACCCAAACCCACTCCCACAAAGCGAACCGCAAAAAGCTTGAGGAAAAAGACCTGGAACTCCCTCAAACAAAATGCGAGTTCTATGGATGTGTGGGGTGGATTCTTCAAGCGGCCAAGGCATGGGCATAGGGCAAGCTTTCAAGAGCAGAAAGCGCCTCCCAAACAATCACAGGCAAGAGTTTGGCAATTGCAGAAATTGGAAACTCGTGTAATTCCTTGAACTGGTAAAACCAACTTGAACCGTAACCCCTAAGCTCTAAAACCTACTTCTCCTCAACCCAAACTCTAATGCACATCCTCCGACTACTTCAAGTTCTATCTTTAAGCTACCTGCTACGTACGACCCTTCGAGGTTTTCCGTGAGAATTCTGCCGCCATTGCAAGCTGTACCCGGTAGGCTTTAGGGTTTAAGGTTACGATTTAGGCTTCACATAGTTGCGGGGGAAAGGTTTTAGAGCTTGGCCTGGCGAGGGCTGACAACGCATGGCATGAGCCTTAGTGTGTTAATTTGGAGGGTTGCTTGTGTATGGCTTTAGGCTTACAACTTTAGTTCATGGGATTCGGGTGTTAGGGTCTCCGCTATTTTTGAAACTGCGGATTAACTGGTCAGACGTGTGCGTCCGTTGTGGGGCGGTATATGCGTAATTCGGAACCCAAGCCCAGCCAAGCCAAAAATCATGAGGAGGCTTGTATTTAGGATTTAGGGTCTGGGGTTTAGGGTCTCAAAACGACACAGCACAGAATGACTCGGAGGTCTTTCAAAAACTCCAACTCAGTGAACAGCATGTAATGTAGGAAGGGATCATCTAACCAGGCAGCCGTGAGCCCCTGACCTTACAATATCGTAATGCACTAAAATATGATATAACGTCTTCTAATGTGACACATGCATCCCGCAGACCCTCTGCACATAACTTTCATGTCCATTATAACTCAAGCCGATGTTGGGCGTGTCCCACTTCGCATTTCTAGGTCATGTGGCTGCACAAGAGAGAGGCTCGCTGATGGCTCCAAGGCCTGAAACCCAAACCCTTCACCTTGACTGATGGTTCGGGGCTTCGGGTTTAGGGTATAGGGGTTCGGCACTCACACTCGGACAATCCAGGCGAGGCATTAAGGTTGAGGGTTTAGTGGTTCTGTAGCCACTGGGCCTAGCCCCATAGGCCCCACAAGGCTTCACAAGTAGAGTATTATGAGAGTCTCAGTAAGCATGCAACCCCAGTTGTCGACATAGCATGTTGGCAGGATCCGTAATTCAAGCACCCTGTCCCCAAGCCTTAAACCCTAAACCCTGAACCCTAAACCCCCATCATGGCCTCTTGGCCCAACTCCAGCCCCAGTCGGTTCGCTGCCCCCAGCAGCGACATGGCGTTTCAGGCTTTTGCTGGCTGTGAGATGTAGTTGTATGTGGGTTCTATAAACTGAAGCCGAGGAACCATATGGAACCGAGCTTTGATCACCTGCAGCTCTGAAAAGCCTTCTGAAACCTTATGCTTTGAGGAACCGATCAGGGTCCTGGGCCTGACGCGTCGGCAGTCCCGAGCATTCGAATCCCTTCTCTAAGGGTGCCGTGCGATTTTGGTGAACCCCCGCCATACCCCCCCTCCCCCCCGGCCCCTCCCCTACTTCCATCGTCTCTTCCTTGCGGCGAAACAAGACGGTCTAGTACGCGCTAGCTTACGTCATTCGTGAAGCTGAGGCAGCCTGGGAATTCTGGGGCTGAGCTGTGTCTTGTACTTCGTTGCAGTTGAAAGCGAGACTAGCGAGAAGAGTGCTACGATTGTAAAAGTAGCATCAATGGGATAATGCAGGGAATGTGCCACCTTTCGCAATGGAATATTTGTCCGCATGAAAACAAACACTGAAAGTAAACACATATTGAAGCAAATGTGCTCATACACTCAAGACCTCACCGGGCCGAGGCGGACGACGCGAAACGTTTAAACATACTTGCATTGTCGAGTGAAAGCCTCCCCTGTAACTCCTCATAGCCCTGCTTCAGATCGCGGTTTTCAAGCGACGGGCAGGGCAGTGTCAGTGCACGGGTTGAGGGCTGGCTCAGCTTCAGCCATTGGCCTTGTTAAAACGAGGGTCCGGGCAGCCCAGGTTTGGGAGAATCCGCTGGTCATTCGGCGAGCTGCAGTGAGCCTTTCGTTGAAACTTCCGACCAAGACAGCCCGGCTGGATACTAAAGCAATCCTGCTTACGAAGTCCCCGATCCTCCATGGACGCTCCGTCACTCAATCATCGGAGCCCACCAAACCTTCGACTCCGAACGGCCATATAGCATATGGATATATATTTATTTCTTTATACATTTGTACTATTCTGAATACTATATAGTATATAAGAACTGTTCTATTTTATAGAATTTTGCATGTCTTTTTTGACAGACTAAATATGCGATATGCTATTTATCAGTTGAAACTATATTTTAACATGTTTGATAACATGATATGTTTTGAAACTATATTGCCATAGTTTGCATTATTCTAGTGTGATTTAGTATATATATATATATATATATATATATATGTCATATATTACCTATTTCGTATTTCTTATAATACATATTATGGTCTTTTCCAGTTTGGTGCTTGTGGGTTTAGGCGGCCTGAACCCTGTGGCTCACCTAAATAGCATCTTCGGCAGGAGGGCTGCCCCACGCGAACAAATGCGACTGGTATGCAGGAAATTCCGCGAAATCACAACTGATTCTGGAAGCTGGCGGCATCTAAAACTGTCTGCAAATCCAAATCTGAAATCCTGGGAGCCTGTACTTTTTTCCCTTGACTAAGGTGTAGGGCTTTTGAAGCCCGGTAACCAGCCCACACCCTTCAAGCAATAACGAACCCCAGAGACTTAGAGCTGTACACCCGGAACACCGAAGCTCCCTGATTTCCAAAATCCTTCAGGCCCGTAAAACCTCGAACCCGAGCTCCAAACTCGCAGTATGGTTTGGCCATCTTTGGGTTAGTTTCGTCAGTGTCATAGGGAGGCCTTACACTGTGTATACTCGAAATGTAGGTCTTAATTTTCTGTAGAGCCCGCATAGAAAACTTTTGAATCCCATGCAGTCGTTCCTTAAAAAAAGCATGCAATCCATACAAAGCTCTGTAAAGTCTGAAAACATCGCACAGCACCCTGTCAAAAGAAAGTCAAACTGTCTTTAAGCAGTGTTGGTTAGGGTTGGCTTTCTGGGCCTCGAGCTTTTCGCTGATTGTTTTGATTTTGGAGTGGCCTTGCAGGTTGTCTCGCTAAGCTTCCGGCGGATGTTGTGCAGATTTTACCTTGATTGATTCATTCCCCCTCAAAAGAAATCCGCGCGAAATTCGCTCAAGACACAGGACCTATGTTAGCATGGGGGGGTTTGGGGCTCGGAGGCTTAGCTTGGGATTGTTGATTCAAGTCTGAATTAGGGATCTGTTATAAACCAACCGCACAAAACACCCAAGTCTCTCTTCAGTAATGAAATCCGACAAAACCTGCAAGCAATCCTATCCGAAACATGTGGCCCCGCGATTATCGGGGGAAGGGTAGTAGTAATACCCTTGGATAGGCTCGCACGGGATCAGCTCCAGGGCCGGAGGAGCATGGAAACCATATGGCAGCTCGAATGGCATCGGCGTTGCGTGTGCATGAAGTGTCTCCGGGGGTCGGTGAAATCCCGGCATCAGCTGCATTGGATGCACTGGCAGTTCAAACGGAACTGGGTAGCATCCGTTCATCGCATAAGGGGGAAGTAGCATCGGTGGCTCGTGACCATGGGGCTGCTCTGCGGGAGGGCACATCTGAGGAGCGTGCACAGGCAAGTATGCTTCATCACCTGCTGCATAGCTGGTGGGGGCTCGAACGGGACTGGAAGCCGAGGAGGGCACAGCCCTGGATCATGCCTCAGTTCATCACACGTTAACTGAAAACCATTCAAAGATTTGGTTTGATAGCCCATGGATTACTCCGGGCTTAAAGCTGCAGGATTTTGGGTTTCTGGGGTGCCAAGCTTGCCTAGCTTCGGCTTAGGAGTTAAAGGAGAGCGGCTTAGAAATTGATAGTTGGGATTGAATCCGTTCCGTCGCTGACTTAATTCAGCAACCAATCTACTTCTCGCATGGGTTATCCAAAGCACCTAGTCTGACTATTTGGGCCTCGAAACCCTTGCCCTACGCAAACGGTTCTTCGACGACCTCTAAGACCTGGCAGAAACCAATGCGGGCCCGGTGGACTCGCCTTCGGAGATGAGGTAGGAAGTAGGGCGTAGGGACCCCCCCGCCACCCCGAACACAGACGGAGGCCTTCATGCATCTCCATGTCTTGAGCAGACCCTAGGCTAAGGCTCTGAAGTTGCGAAGCACAAGCCCAAGGCTTTGGCATGGGCAGCGGCGAAGGCCCGACCTCGCCTCAGAGTGATCTGCTTTCTCTGGTTTTCCCCCCACTAAGCTTAACCCCGACATTCACAATCAATCATAAAACCTTTCAGAAGACCTCTATAAGCTTTGTTCAACAGAAAGTGTAGCACGCAATAAAGCCCTCCAGATGCCCATTGCCATACAACACCGTGTAATCCGCAACAAAGCCAACAACAAAACCTCCGTAAATCTCTGCTTCTGGGGCTCCGGGCCTCCAGGGGCAAACGCGGGGGGCGGTGGGATGGCCCCCGGCGGGAGCCATGGCGCTGGCTCGGATGGTGGTGGTGGCGGTGGACCTCCACGAGTTTAGGGGTTGTCTAGGGCCTGGGTGGGGTTTAGGATTCACGGGCTTGCTCTGAAGACTTCTGTCTGTCCTGGGGTTTTGGGTTCGGGGGTGAATAACGCTTTGGTTTGGGGGCTACGCTTAAGGTCAACAGCAAGGTTACAGCCAGGCTGCCAGAGTGGTCGTTCGTGCTATTCCGCGGCTTGGGTCTTGGGGTTTGCCTAATAAATAGTCTGAGGATCATTCTTGAGACGAATATCAAAATCATCATCGGGACCACATCAGGGCCATGACTGCGGTTGTTAGCGATCTTGTTAAGGCTTTAATCTTGATCCTAGGGCCTAAGGTTCACATGCGAGTTGCTATTGGTGTGAGGAATATTGACATCAATTTGCAGTGCCACAGCTTGCAAATCTTGGCACTAAGGAATGCTCATGGTCTCCGGGCCGGGTGCGGCAGGGAGCCAAGGGGCGGGGTCAAGTGGTGGGGGAGGCGCACCTGCAGTGCGAAGGTCATGTTTTAGGGCTTAAGATTCTGTAAAAGCAGCTCCGCGAAAACGAAACACAACTTGTTCAGGGTTTCGAGTACGGGCAGTACGGTTTCTGATCTTAGGATCCAGGGGTCTGCGGCTTACGCTCTCACAACTCGGACGAAGCCAGGCGAAGTTCTTGGGTGCTGAGTCGGTGTGAAAAGGACTGAAGCGGATTCTCAGGTGTGCCAGTTCACCACAGGGGACTAAACGAACATGTAAGCAACAGCGATTACTCAGAGAATCACGTCTTGGAGAGCAGTGTCCTTGTATCAGAAAGACCTCAAGGATAAAGTTGAACACCAAAACACATCAGTAAAGTTAACAGTTCGTTATAGGACACCAACAGCTACTTTGAGCTTTCCTAGGTTCCCTGCAAATTCCGCTCAGAGCCTTGCTAGACTACATCAGTAACCGGGGACTCTGGACAGATTCCAACAGGGTACCGTCATACTAAGGTACGTGAAACAGCGCATTCCAGGCTCAGACATGGCATCTCTCTCTCAGTACTCGCTGCAGAAGAAAGGCACTCGATACTTGCCGCCCACGTTGCATCCACGGTGTTGTACGGCTGTTCCCAGGCTCGACTGGTATGCATACTCCATCGCTACGCAGTATGGCAGACACTAGCTAAATGCTTCGCAGGTGAGCTTCAGAGTCGGCTGCACCCCAGGTGAGCACAGACCCTTAAGCTAGGGTCACCACGAACACGTCGCCAGAAGCTTGAGTCTTCTGCCCATCGTGCAGCTGGTGCTGTAAAGTGCTGTGGGGATCACCAGACTCGGTAGCTTTCCGGCGGACACAGTCCTTTCGTCCAGAAGTGTGACCTGTGAATCAGGAGGAGCTTGTACTCCCCGTAGTCGGCAGCTGCCCTGAAACAGTACTTGTTGTCTCGCCTGCATCTGTCCATGCACGGAACAGCGGTGCTATCCGAGGCTCGGGTTCTGCCATCACAGCTGATACTCTCTGGGATACAGAATGTAGTCATAGTCGGTCAGTACTGCTTTAACCCAGACACAGGAAAGGTCGTGGAAGCCAAGACCCAAGGGATCCACGTTGCCCTCTTCCAGCCCTCGTCATCTGCTAGCAGGGTTACACCATGGCATCCGCGCGGTCGAGGGTTGGTGGTTTGGTTTCAGTGGGGACAAGGGGGGCAAGTTACCGAGTGCACACAAGAACTACTGCAAAGTTCTCCCTTCAGTCGACGACAAAGACGGGACGGGGTCTCGACAAGGGCCCTTCATACACCATCCATGCATCATCATCATGCAACATGCAGAAAAATTCATCATGCATCATGCATCAAATTCACAGTCCAGCACGTGCATCAACAAGGAAAAGGTACTTGCAGTCCGGCAGCACCTGGGCCAGTGTTTTACACACTGTAGCTCTCCCTCGTCCTAGTATGTAGAGGCTTGCGGAGAGTCCTCGATGAGAACTGCAGTCTCAGCAAGCGCCTGTCTCTCCTTACACAATGCCCAGGACTCCAAAAGGCTCATTTGTCCTGGATCGGGTTGGCTGCCGCACCCAAAGCTGCCGGGTAAGTAACCCAAAGTTGCTTGGTGAATCATACTATTGCTTGGTAGGTGAAAGCCTAGCATGAGGAGCTGCTGTCTAGTAGCCTCCGGGATGTTTCTGGCATTGAGGGCGGTGAAGGCTACCAGGGTAATGCGTGTCAGGGGGTCCACAGTGCCCGGCAGGTGGCCCGCATGAAGTACCTTCCTAGCATTGAAGTAGTAGGGCTCAGTAACATCAATGATATCTCCCAGCACTGTCGTACTGTGGTGAACTTTAGGGTGGGTTCCCGAGGAGGTCTGCACCCAGAGTCCTTCGCCGGGGCCTCCTACATGTAGATTAACGATCATGGAGTAGAAGGGTCCGTTACGGAGGTCGCGGTGGGGTTTCCCTACCAAGCCTTCTCTCAGAACAAAGTTCGTGTAGGGAAGCATCGGGGACAGCTTGCGAATGTAACGATTAATGATCATAACAGTATAAGGGGTCTCAGTGCACATAGTCAGAGGGGCCTCATTGTTCCTAGGATTACACCCCGCAACCACGTAAGTCCCGCACGCTCCTCTATCTACACCACCAGGACGACGACGGTACGATCTAGGCATCATCTCAAAAAGTTGGAGCATCTCTTCCCTCTCAGGAGCCCTCTCACTGCTTAACATCCTGTAAGCCCTGAACTCCATAACCCTCAGCAGCCAATCCTCCGAAAACCCAAAGGCAGGAAGGTTCGGGTTGAGGGGAGGAGTTCGAGAGTCGTACAGACTGCGATCCTCATTGGTCCCAGTGCTGGTTCGTGCTCGCTTGGAGGAGGGACGAGGGGCTGCTGGCTCCAGGACTACCCTAGGGGTGGCAGTTGCGTCGGTCAGATCCTGAAAGGAGGCTTCCACAGTATCGTCGCACAAGTCTATCACTTCATCGGCTGCCCTGAGACAAGCAAACATGACGTGGGAGAACTGCAAGACGATTTCTTCACATGTACTGCGAGCCCAGGAGCTTCAGGGAGAGTTTTGCAGGGTTTGGTGCGGGCAAGGCGGAGGGGAGCAGGTGTCTCGCCAGGTCACAGCTACTCGCCCTAAACGGTGCACACTGCAAGCGCTTCAAGATTTTCCTCGTGTCAGTCCAGTGGCATGCATCAAGAAAGCCTTATGAGAAGGCCTACGCTCTTCAAGTGCAGCTTTCCATGAATTCAAACGGCACATGTGCTGCTGGGACCACGGTAACAACCGAAAGCAGAGCTCCAAGACAGATACCGAAGCACTAGACACTAAAAGAATTCCGCAGTGGGTCCTCAGTGTGGCAGCAAAGGGCATGCAGGCAGTCGCAAATTCTGGCAAGGGCACAAGGAAAAGCAGTACAGTACAGTGCTCAAGGATGCAAACAAATTCCAGCAAGTGCAAAATCATGCATGCAAACGGTTGCAGAAAGGAGCAAGTGCGAGGCACACATCATCGGCTACCGAGGGCATGCATAGATGATCAGAGCTTTCAGCTCATAGGGATGTTGACGCACCTGCCATCTCCCATTTGGATCCGGACTTCCGGCGCCGATGGTGCTCGAGCTACCGGGAGAGCCGTGTTCAGGTTGAGCTGACGAGGGCCATGCTGCAAGTTCGGCTCGTACGATGGGGGCGGCATAGGGGGCCGATCATGTTGGCCACTTACCGCCACAGGAACCGGCCGTTCACAGTAGTCACGAATGACCCGAACTTGTTCTGAAATACTGGCAAGGACTGTGGCCAGCTGGAAGACGTTCTCCTTCTGCGTTGCCACCTCGCCTTGCAAGAAGCTGTGGGCAGCCAGAAGTTCTTGGCCTAGGTCATAGACCTGGTTGGAGACATCCTTCACGGTGGCCGTCATGCTCGTATGACTATCGTAGTCCGTAGCCGTGATCTTGCGAAGCACTTCCTTCACTCCCGACTCCAGCATCGACGCCTTGGTGGTCACGTGGGCGGTCAGGTCGAGGTTCTGTTGTTTACTCGAGCTAGCCACTGCCGCAACACTCTTGAGGGCGTCCTTCAGCTGGGATTCGTTGCTCTTCCCAAAGCTATCCACATTCTGTGACATGGTCCCCATCTTTGCAGTCACTGCACCAACGATGCTTTCCAGTGCACTGGCCCGCTTGTTCATCTCCTTGATCTCCTTGGGGAGGTCCTTGAGGTCTGCACCACCCAAGGCTTTCTCCATCGCAACCTCAAGGGCATGGGTCGCCTTCTGGTTGCTCTCGAGCTCCGTCTGCACCTTGGCAAGAGTGGGAGCCACACTCGTGATCCCATTCAGGAGCCGCGACATGTTGGCAGCGAAGTTCTTGACCGTCGTATGGCAAGCCTGAAGCTCCTGCATCATAGATTCAGGGGTCACCACAGGCGCATCGGCATCGTCCTTGGTGGCTTGCACAACCTTTTTGGGAGACGGTGGTGCCTGCGTGATCCCCTTTCCGGAGTCAGGGGCCTGTTTTCCGTCATTCTGCGAACTGCCATCCCCATCCGTTGCCACTTGCTGCGAGGATCCATCTCCATCAGGCGATGGAGTGACTGCTGCCACCGCAGGGGTCGAGTCATCCTTGGTGCCATCGCCTTGAGCAGAAACAGAGGGGGCCGCGCCGCCCGAGGTGTCCTCAGTTGGTGCCGTCATCACCTCGCCAGTTGAGGGCTCCGCGGAGCTGCTCGCAGCGGTCCTTGGAGCAGTGAGCCATGCTTGAAAGTCTCTCACCACAAGCACAACCAGCAGAGTGAGGGTCACCGTGAGCAACTGAACGACCCACTGCATCTCCATGGCTAGTGGTACTGCGAGGGCTGGCACTTGAGAAGGTCGCTAGACGGCTACATGTGTCAGCAACTGCAATTACACGGCCGTCCTGCCCCCCCCCCTATCCCATATTCTAGCTGAAGCAGGTGCTTTAGCAGCAATCGCACAGCTGACATGTTGCATCGCTCTGGGGCATCGACTGGGTACAATGACGGGCTCTCGGTTTTCAGGGTGGCTCACAGGAAGGGGGAGGGAGAACATGTCTACTGCTGAGTTCACCACGAGAAAACACTAGGGTTACAGATGACACTAGGGCTGCAGGGTCCACTACGTCAGGTCCACGACAGCAGGGGGGAATGGGTAACGCGCGGGAAGACATGTATGGTACACTGCATGGCTGAAGTCTGAATGTCGGGTCAGTACCGTTTGTCCCTCGGGGAAGGGGCCAAAGGGTCCCTGCAACTGGTGCAACAGCCAATCCGGAGTCTTCTGAGGATGCAGATAGCAGAAGGACAAAAGATCCTGGTTTACCTCAAAGGTGTGCAGCCTGTTTGTCCTCCACAACTGGTCTAGAGGCACTTGCTGGCACCAGATGTGTGGCGAAAAAGCACCCGGTGGCAGAAAAATGGTCGCTCTCTGCTCCCATAGGAAGGGCATCCAGATCCATACCTGCCGAATGCATTCCCAGACCTGAAGGCGCTGGTGCAGAAGGTTCGCACTGGTGCGTTGAGTTTGTATCACAAGTACTTTACCGCAAGATCGTTTAGGGGGGAGCACTCTAACCTCCGTGCCTTGGTCGAGCATCCGTATCCACAGCGTCCATTGGGTGGCTTTAGGGACTCCCCGAAGCACATGCTGAACTTCCCTACTGTATGCCTCTTCCGGGAAAAGGCGGGCTGGGCGCAGAATGGCCAAGGTTTTCCCAACTACAAGCAGCTGCCTGTCACAGAGATAGTTGGCAGGCATCCTAGCGCAGTCGGAACCCGAGTAACCCCACTTATTGAGCCAGCTCTTCAGTGCCTTAGTCCAGATCGGGCGTTCCTGGGCAAGACTCTCAACGTCTGGCCAGGGGGAGGTCCCCCGCATCTTGTCCCAAGCAAGCTGAAGCTTCCTCGGCGTGAAGTGGGTCAGAGGGCCGGGCAGGGTCCTTCCAGTGACAATCCTCCAGGTGGCACATCTGGAAATAATCCTGTGGATGGGAAGGTCAGCCTTACTACGAAAAACATGGCCCCAGAAGTTCCACAACCTAGTCAACCAGAGTTCCCCCCATCTACTCGACTTAAAGATCTCGCAGGTCACCTTAACAGCTCGACGGCGCGCAAGGACGTTTGCTAAGAACGGCTGCAACGGATCAACCTGCAACTTTAGAAGCGAGAGCAACAGGGTATGTTTGAAGGACTCCAGACTACGTAGCGCCTGCACACTAGGGTAGACCGCAGGAGCACACCATGCCCATTTCGAGGTGATGTAAGTCTGAAAAAGTACGAGCTTCTCGGATACTGGGGTATCCGGATGATCGAAGAGTTTTCGCAGCCCGAAAAAGGCCGAGGACATTTTAGCCAAGGACACACCGAGGCCTCCTAGGGCATTGCCCCCATAGCACAGAGGAACACCCAGGTAAAGGAGGGACTCGGACCCCGTAATCGGTGTTACAGCATTTCTACCCCAGACACCAGGCGTAGTCCCATCCTCGTCATCAAGAATGTTGCACTTGGACAAGTTCAGCTGGAGCCCAATTGATTCTAGGGTTAGCTGCAAATCCCGAAGCTTGGCCTGCAAGTCCCTTGTGTCCGTGCCAAAGAGAAGTATATCATCAGCAAACAGGAGTGCATGCGGCAAGCTGTATCGGGTGAAGACCTCATGTTCCCCTGTCTGCCAGCGATGAAGAAGCCCCCCCAGGAAATGGTCAATGATCCTGGAGAAGAGGTCAGCACTGTATGAGGTACCCTGGAGTAGGCCTCTTCCCAGTGCCTGGGACCAAGATCTGGAGCCTAACTGAAGCCTCACCTCCGTGTTGCAACAAAGTTGCCAAAGTACAAGACTCTCTCTACTAGCGTCTGCATCATACAGATATCGCCACACAGCCTGATGAGAGATGGTGTCGAAGGCTTGTTTGATGTCCAACTTACAGACCAAGAGTCTCTTCCCCGTGGCCTGTTTATAAAGCTTCATCGTTGATTGAGCAGCAACTACCGCTTCCAAGGCTTGTGTTCCAGGACGGTTAGCATGTTGCCCAGATTGGAAGGGCGGAAGAGTACTGCGGAGTCGCTGCATGATGATTTTACTGAAAAGCTTGCCCAAGCACGGCGTGAGGCTAATGGGGCGGAGGTCTTGAACGCGACAAGGCCTCTGGACCTTGGGAATGAGGCATATCTTACCGATAAGCCACTCCTTCGGTACAGGCAGCTCCCCTCCTAAGATGCGATTGAAGAAAGAGGCCAGCTTTCCTTTGGCATCTTGTTGGTGAAAGGTCCTGATGGCTGCATAACAGACTGAGTCTAAGCCCGTGGCCGTGGAGAGCTTCACTTTACTGAGAGCTTCCCTGATTTCTTCGTCGGTAACAGGACAGAAAGAGGCACAGTCATGTTTCGACACAAGTGCCTCCTGCTGGACATTCGTTACTTCCCCCTCAGCTGCTGGGCGACTATACTTGTGCCTATAAAAGGATCTGACTTGATCACAGGCTGTGTCGTGGCCGCCCAGACGTTCCAGAAGACTGCCATCAGAGTAGCTCTGCGCAGAGCTCCTCCTCAGGTGACCAATGGCGCCTCGATCCCCTGCTCTAGCTGCTTCAAGCAAATCAAGTTTATGACGCTTCTGGGCAAGGGTTCTATCTTGGGCAATTCGCTGAGCCAGCGTTTCACGTTGGGCAGGGTCGCCACAGACCTTCCTGAGTCGTATGAGTTCCTTGATCTCCGGGGGGTCCTTATATCTCCTGGAGGGAAGTCTATACGAGTGCTTTTGGCAGAGGCTAGCAAAAGCCTCCTGAGAAAACATGAAGGAATCATCAGAGGCAGCGGCTTCAAGCGGTCCTGCTGTCACACCCCACCTTCCACACCCATGCCGCGGTCGTGGTGGTCGGAGGCGCAGACCAGTTCGCCCGCTAAACACAGCTACCAGTGCATTATGATCCGAAGGCAAGGCCCTCCTCCAGTCTTCTCTAAGATGGAACGCAGTCTCTATCATTGGCCAACGGAAAATGAACCAGTCAATCGTGCTGGATTCGTTGCGTGCAGTCCAGGTGCATCCAAGCGGCTGGTTGAATTCCAGTCCACGATGGCGTGCAAGAAGTTGGAGTCGAGACAACGCAGGGAAACAAGGGTTTGAATTCAAAACATGTTGATTCGCATCAATTCCTATGCAAATTACATCATGATGACGTGCAGAAGATAGCGTTTCGTCAATTTTGGCAAGATCCGAGAGCCAGACGTCCTCCGCGTCCGGTCGCTGCTGATGAGGTAGGTGGGCTGTCCCAAGCCAGAAATTCCTACCCTCCGCCCTGCACTGAAGGATGAACCCTGTGCCGAAAGAGTGCCTCGTCGTGATCTGCAAATCTAAGTCTGAGCGAAAGAGAAGAGCCGTAGCTCGGTGAGACAACGGTGTCTGGTAAACAAAGACCTTGTATGCCAGGCCACTTATGTCAATATCGTCAGTGCGCCAGTCCCCTTCAGGGACATCCGAAAAGCCTCCAACTTCCTGGAAAAGAAGAAGCTCAAAAGGACCCTCAACTTCATCCAGCAAGTTCTTAACGGAGCCAAGGTGCTTTCCATGGAGATTCCATGTCACAGCGACGAATTCACGAATTCGGCTTGCAGAAAGCCTGCCCTTCCTGTTTGTTGAACCCCCTTCTTTATCTAGTCAGTTCTGAAGCTCGTCGCGGGCCTGTTCCGGAGAGATGGAGAGTAGTCTTCCCAACTGACGCACATCTACAAACCAACCTGTTTCATCACCAGACTGGTTTGTCAACATCATTGAATTCTCATCCGGCTGCTTGTAGCGATGCCAGAACAAGCATTGTTCGGAGCGAATCCAAAGGCGGCCCGACCAGTCAAAATCAATAAAGGCTTCCGACAAGTGTTTGGTAGCCCACTCCTTGACACTTACTAATGCACGGATTTTCTCTCGATCCTCGCGGCTACGATTGCGGGTTACCCACAGTTTAGCCTTCTGTTGTCCCGGAACACTACTCACATACCCATCAAGTTTCTGCTTCAACGCATTGATCGTGAGGCTCTGGATACGTCTCCTTTCTGCTAGGTTACTGTTCGTAAACAGGAGCTCCACCCTTGCAAACCGAGTCCTGACGAAGGGTATGGTGATGTTATGCAAGAGGGGGGAGGCTTCAATCTCCTCAAACAACAATCTGACTTCTTGCTCAACCTCACCCCTTCTCGCTTCGTCCCAGCCACCAATTACAATTTGGAGGTCATCGATAACAGGCCTACCTCCTGCAGTACTGGCAGCCGTAGACCCCCGTGGGCTCTGTTCAGCAGCTCGGTGCGGTGCCGGGCTAACTGACCTGGACTTGGCTCTCAAATCCCTGACCTCAGCTTCCATATTGTCCAGCCGGGTAGCCATGTCCCCCTGGGCTCGGTGAAGAGCTTCCTGCTTTCTATCAATACCCTGCACCTGGGCGGCTACCTCAGAGATGTGGACCTTATGGGTCTGAAGTTCCGACAAAAGATCTCGATGTCCTGTCGCAACCATGTTCTGAAGATCACGTACCCATGTGGGAGGCGTCTGGGGATCAAGATGGTAGATCTCCGGTCCTGCAGGGGCTTCCCGGGTCTTTGGGCTGACTCGCGAAGGGTCACTACCTCCTCCGAACAGTGGAGGCGGATCCAGTCCTCGCCTCGACCGTTCACTCGCCAGCTTCGCTTTCTTCTCGGGGCTTTCGGTTTGCTTGTCTCGTTTCGGCTTGGATTTGGGGGTTCCCAAGGCTTGCCCAGCTTCCTTGATCACGGTTTGCAGAGGCGACGGGGGGTTTGGGGGAGGCAGGGAGGAGGCTACTGGGGCGGCAAGTGCAT